CCCACGTGACTCGGCCAGCGCCGAGCGAGCCGGGCCCGGTCTCCTGGAGTTCCCACCCCTCCAGGTGGGGCGGGGCAAAGTGGGAAAGCTCTGTGCTGATTGGCTGTCAGCAGGGGCAAAGAGGAGGGAGCTGGGAGATTTAAAGGGACAGGGCAACGCCCCCTGGCAGGCCCCGGGGAGGGAGAATGAGGAGGGGGGCGGGAGGCTGAATTTGGCCGACGCAAAGGGGTCTGGAGAGGCGAGGACTATTCCTGGGCGTCTCCCCCTAGGCTTAGGATGTATATGGGGGAGACAAATCCCACCCCCCAAAAGATCGCTGTGAGTGGATCGGGACTTGGAACTAAGGGTGAGGGAGAAACTGGATTTTTTCCTTAATAAGTGAAGAAACTAGAAAGCAGGCGTCAGCGCGCGGGGGCAGGGCGTGGGGAGCCGGGCTAGGGCCCAGGGCGACTCCCCTGAAGCTCACTAGGTCCCGAAGCCGGGCAGGAAGAGAGACTTTGATGACGGGATGGCGTTTCCATTTCTTACTTCCAGCCACTTACCCTAAAGCCCCAGTTTTCTGAGAGGGACTCTGGTCCGCACAGTGCTGGAAGGATGCGATGGCCCCCCTCCCGCCCCCGCACACAGATCACCGCACGGAGTAGAGATGCTCTCAGTGAAACATGGAGAATAAAAGGAGGGAAATGGGAAATTGGGGCAATAGAATAGGCTGGTATTTCAATATACAATAGAAATAAAAAGCCTCGGAGTGAGATTTTTCAAAGAAAGGGGGGCGGAGGGGGGAGAGGATTAGGTCTAGGAAAGCTAAAAAAGCGCTGGATGTGAATAAGAGCACTCCTGCTCTCATATCTGTGTACAAATGGAAACTTGAAATGAGGGAGAGATGGGAGGCCCCAGGAGGACCGACTTCAGCCTGGGGCCGGCCCTGGGCCGTTAGGCTGGTGTGGGCCAGTGGGCCGGGCAGAGCCGGGATCAGTGCAGTTTTAGCTCCCTTATAGTGTGAAGTGTTTTCATGCTTTAAAATTGTCCCATATTTCAAAGGACAAATTAACACCAACTTACGGTAAAGCCCCCCCCCCCCACCGCTTCTTCCCTCCCAATCTCCTGACTTATGGGCCTTCCTATGCCCAACTTGATGCCTTAACAGAGGCAACCCTTTCCAGGGCACATCTCGGTGGAACTGAGCCAAGTTCCCTTTCTGCACAGGGCCTCCCTGAGGAGAAGAGGTCATAAAGAGGGGGGGGGGAGGGGCTGCAGCATCTCCCTCTTTTCTGCCCCTGCTGCAGCGTTTACATGCTGGGTACTCCTGTCCAGGCAGCTCACAGTAACCTCAGGCTAAGCCAGACCCACTGGACCCCGCCAGCCCCAAGAGCAAATGGCCAGGTCTATCCTGAGACCCAGCCACGCAGTCTCCCTTCTTCCTGTAGGGGAAGGTGGTGTTTGAAGATGGAGAGCATGGAGAGGTCCTGGCAAGGGTGAGTTAGGATAAGAAACTAATCTTCATCAGTGTGATCAACATCCTTAGATTTCCGAAATCAGGCTTCAGGCTGGGCTGGCAGTAGGCAGAAAATACAACAGAAAGGTTACAGGAGCAGGCAAGCAGGCTAGCACGAGGGGTGATGATGGTAGAAGGAGGAGAGAGGAGCCGAAGTGAAGGTGATCTTTCTGGGAGCTCGCTCCTGGCTGGGAAACTGGCTTCCCTGCCTCCGGAGTCCAAGGTCAAGGTGAAACGAGGAGAGTAAACTTGGCCTGGCCCGTCTAGACTGGGTCTTGTGACCTTGCCCCCCTCCCCCCCCCTGCCCCCTGTGTCTGCCTGTGGCCTGGCTGGTGGGGGTAGGTGGGTGGGGAGGTTTTTGGGTGAGTTTCCAGCCAAGAGGGGAGAGGCGGTCCTGAGGCCCTGGCTTCCCCTCCCGTGACGTGCGGGATCCGTGAGGAGTGGAGAACCAAGGCGACAGGGACCGTGCTCTGTGGGGCCACGAGGACAAACAAAGGGCCTGACATGCCCACTCCAGTCCCGGGGCTCCCTCCCGGGTACAGGAATGCTCTAGCCCAATGCGAGAGGCGAATTCATCAGGGGCCAGACCCCAAGGACGTCCCCCAGCTTCTGGGAGTAGGGGGCAGAACCGCAGGGCTGCCCAGCAATAAATAAAATTAATAGTATGTTCTTTTCCAGGTTTATATAAGGACATTAACTATTCCTATTGCAATGAGATATAGATTTCATTAACCCGGCAATTTTACAATTCCATTTATTAGGGGCACTATGCGGCCAAAATTTAGCGACAAGAGGAGAAAGCTGGAACCAACGTCCCCTTCGTCAAGACCAGTCTAAGAAGATGTAGGTTCCAAGAGACGCGGGGAGGTGAGAAGGCTGGAGGGGAACGTTCAGGCCTCAGGGAGTTAAAAGCGGCCGGTGCAGCGTCCTCATGCTTTTTCTTTCGGTTCCCCAAGACCTTCCGCGCCTGAAACTGCCGGCTCCACGGCCGGGGCGCGCCGAGCGGGGCGGGAGGCGGCGTTGCCAGAGCCCGCGGGCGGGCGGGCCGGCGGGCGGCGGAGAGCAAAGCGTTGTTGGTTAATTAACTTTAAGCCTGGGGTCGCTTCTCCCTCCTCCCCCGACAAAAATGTGGATCTCGCTGGGACACAAATAAAACCAAATTAAACACTCCGGGAGAATATGCACCACTGGAAACGTAGTAATTACACCTCCGAGGCGATCCCGCCCTAGAAAGCCGGGCGCTGCAACCCTCGGCTTCGCGCTCACCGCGCCTCCCCCACCTCGTCCCCACCCCACCCCACCGGGGTGCACACACTGGGCGGCGGCGGCGCTGGAAAACGGACGAAGTTTACAGAAAATCAAGACCAATGAACAGGAGTGTGGCTCCTGGTCTGTAGATGCGCTGCATTAGACTAAAGGAAGATGGGAAATGGCCCGGCAGCCCCGGTTGGTCGGTCCGAAAGCCGAGCCCTGCTCTGGGCTCTTTTTACAAAGGGACCTTTGCAAGGGCGAGGCTCCCGAGCCACTCTGCCCTCAGCTTCCTCTGGGGACTGAGTCCCAGCTAGGTTCAACTCTGAAACTCTTTTTCTCAAAGGCGATATTCTTTGTGCCTCCTCACTGGACGTGTGTGACGTATGTGACGTTTGGGGCTGTGCAGGGTGCATGCACTGTTCCGCACATGCCCTTGTAGGCACAGCCCAAATGTGTTTATAAAGATGCCCAGCCCTCTGCCGAAATCCTCTATTGCGAGTAAAGACCTTTGCGGATCTAGCCATCTCTCTGTGTACGCACTTAATTTACTGCTCATTTCTACTTAGACATCCCAAAGGAAAATGCCAGGAAAAGGAGGAGGCCGATGCCCGTGTCTTTCTGAAGCTGATGGGTGGGATTCCTGGCCCACTGTATTAAAGACAGAACTGAAGGTGGCAGTTCATGGCATTGGCAGCAAGAGGGTGCAGGACTGAGGCAGACACGTGGGTGTAGCTTGCGTGCCAGGCAGGCTAGGGGGAAGGATGAGAGAAATGAGCGCGGTGTGCCCCTTATTCAATACCCAGATTGTCTTCTCTGGAAATTAAGCATTAGTTGATTTCTTCCTTCTTCTGTTTCCTCCATATTCCAGAGAAAAAAGAGCTTGAAGCTCTGAAGCTCCTGCCCCCCCCCCCGCCTTTTTATGGGAGAAAGTCCCGTTATAAAAAGAGGAGGTGGGTTGAGGCTGCAGGAAAACAAAGAGCTTCACCACCATGGGGTCTGGATTCTGGCCCCCCGGACTTGGGGCTTTGGTGGGTGGGCAGGGATTTGGGGGGGGTCCCTTTCCTGTCCAGGGTCCAGGCCCCATGATAGAAGAGGAAATTTATGGAGGAGAAGGCACATCAGGCTTGAACTATCCAGGAAAGAAAGGAATTTTTAAGCTGGAGGGGCCACTTATAGGAACAGGTTAGGGGTCCAAGGAAAGTGCCCTGAGAGGAGAGTGTGTCTGAGTTCGAGAGGAGAGTGTTAAAAATGTTATTTTAAAGATCCACACAGTCGGAGAAAATTCCTGGTGAGTTGCAAAGGGTGGTGTTGTTGGGGAAGGAAAAAAAAAGTGGCTGATCCTGGCTGGGGCTCCCTGGCCCTGCCAAGCCCGCTCCTGGCTGCTGTCCCTCCACCTCTGTGGGCTCTGGAAGGTTGTGCGGCCCAAGGAGCAGGCAGACGCGGATGCCACCTCCCAGGTCCTGGGTCCCTCTGGAACCTGCTCTACTTTAATATCTCCACACCCACAGCCTGGCCTCAGAGAAGAGCTACCCGGGCCTCTCCTCCCAGTCTGCGAACTCGCCTCCTGACCAGCGTCTTCCACATTTATTGTTCTCCCTCCCTGGGCCCCCAGTGTGAGGGAACACGGGGCCAGGATGGCTGAGACAGCACCTTTCTCCTAGTTTCAGTGTTTTCTGCTCTCAAACCCAAACTTGCCTTCCTCCAGGCCTATCCACTCGCCTCTTTCAGACATTAAAGAGATCCACTCCCTTCTGCTGCCCAC